GTTTGAAAAGAATGAGTGAACATATAGATGATACCAATTAATGTGAGTGTAAATATTTCAGTTTTGTTAACCTAGTATATGCATATGTATACAGAAATATTGGGTTTTAGAATAAAACTGTTTTCTTGTAATACTGTGTTGTTTGATATTTTGTGATTTATTATTGAGTGTTGGGAGAGGGATACTGGATGTTGATATTGTGTATTGATGCTACCACTACGATGATGGATGACATTTCTGAACATGTTTCTACCCAATACTTATGATAGAAGGGCAAGACGGGATCGAACAGGTGTCACTGGGGGTGTGGTAATATCGTGAAAGTTGACAAATAGGGTTAAGATGTGAGCCGGTAACAGCGCAGTCACATGTCCGATTCCAATGCAGCCATTTATTCGACTGAAAATATTGTGGCTGTGTCTTCATATTTCTTATCCTATTTACCGTTCATGGACGAAATGACATTATAGCACAGGAATACGTTTACTTTCTTTGCATCTACAAACAGATTAAAAAAATCCTTTCTTAGTATTTCTAGTTTTGTTTTTGTATGTCACAAAATGGTAGACTGCGGGAGGACTATCAGTACCCGAGGTTGACCGTTGCCTTGTAACTGGATTGCTGGTGGTCTATCAGTACCCGAGGTTAACCGTTACCTTGTAACTGGACTGCTGGTGGTCTATCAGTACCCGAGGTTGACCGTTACCTTGTTACTGGACTGCTGGTGGACTATCAGTACCCGAGGTTGACCGTGACCTTGTTACTGAACTGCTGGTGGACTATCAGTACCCGAGGTTGACCGTTACCTTATAACTGGACTCCTGGTGGTCTATCAATACCCGTGGTTGACCGTGACCTTGTAACTGGACTGCTGGTGGATTATCAGTACCCTATGTTAACCGCTACCATGTAACTGGACTGCTGGTGAACTATCAGTACCCGAGGTTGCCCGCTACCTTGTAACTGGATTGCTGGTGGTCTATCAGTACCCGAGGTTAACCGTTACCTTGTTACTGGACTGCTGGTGGACTATCAGTACCCAAGGTTGACAGTTACCTTGTTACTGGACTCCTGGTGGTCTATCAGTACCCGAGGTTGACTGTTACCTTAAAACTGGACTCCTGGTGGTCTATCAATACCCGTATTGACCGTGACCTTGTAACTGGACTGCTGGTGGATTATCAGTACCCTATGTGAACCGCTACCTTGTAACTGGACTGCTGTTGGACTATCAGAACCCGAGGTCGACCGTCACCTTGTAACTGGACTGCTGGGGGACTATCAGTACCCGAGGTTGACGGTTACCTTGTAACTGGACTGCTGTTGGACTATCAGAACCCGAGGTCGACCGTCACCTTGTAACTGGACTGCTGGGGGACTATCAGTACCCGAGGTTGACTGTTACCTTAAAATTGGACTCCTGGTGGTCTATCAGTACCCGAGGTTGACCGTTACCTTGTAACTGGACTGCTGGTTGAATATCAGAACCCGAAGTTGACCGTTACCTTGTAACTGGACTGCTGGTTATCTCCTTGTAACTGGATTGCTGTTGGACTTTCAGTACGCGAGGTTGACCGTTCCCTAATAACTGGACTGCTGGTGGACTATCAGAACCCGAGGTCGACCGTCACCTTGTAACTGGACTGCTGGTTGTCTCCTTGTAACTGGATTGCTGTTGGAATTTCAGTACGCGAGGTTGACCGTTACCTCATAACTGGACTGCTGGTGGACTATCAGTACCCGAGGGTGACCGTTACCTTGTAACTGGACTGCTGGTGAACTATCAGTACCCGAGGTTGACCGCTACCTTGTAACTGGATTGCTGTTGGACTTTCAGTACGCGAGGTTGACCGTTACCTAATAACTGGACTGCTGGTGGACTATCAGTACCCG